CAACTATGTGGTTTCCTCAAATTGGGAACACCCCAAGTCACCGGTTTCAATAACCAGGCCAATGACTTGATTGATTTCGCTGTTCCTTTCTTTTGGACACCTAAAAAATTGACACACCCTTTTCGCTGGTTTTCCTCATAGCGAATTCACGAGGCAGCGAGCAAATCAAACACTTTTTGCTGGAGGCTCCGCAGATTTGGGGAACCATGCAATCCAGTTTTTGACGGAGGGGACCTTTTTTTGGGTACCAGTGTTTTGACCCTTTTTTTTCAGCAGGAGCGAAAAGCGAAAAGCGGGAAAAGCGAGAGTGTTTTGACCCATACCCTCTGGTAATTTAACATAGCTATTGACCTATCTCCAAATGAGGAAAAATCCATAAAACACATATTACAATGATTCTGAGTCGCCTTTTCTGTTTGATGACTGTCAGATGACCATAATTATACTTTATAAATCCCAATCACTTATGATTATCATAGTAATTACTTGCAATTATAGTGATCATAGTTTCTTGGCGATAAAATCGCCATAATCCCATATAATCCCATATAATCCCATATGATCCCATATGATCCCACCACATAATCCGACATCATCTCCTATCATCAATCATTTCCACAAGCGTCAGCAACTCCAGGCATGGCTACGGGTGGCCGAACAGGAGAAGCACCAGCGGGAAGTGGAGGCGCGTTTTTGCACCATGGGATTTTCCGGGGATTTTCCATTGGGCTTCAAGTGGTTTGCTTCGGACGTGGGATTTTCCAATTGCCATTGGACGTCATGGGATCAATGATGATCAATGTTTTTTTTTTTTCGATTTCATGGAGTTTTTTTGCTGGGATAGATATGATAGATGGAAGTTGAATGGGATATTCATGGGATATTCATGCTCAAACGTGGCGAAAATTCGAAGCATTTGCAGGTGATTTTCCCGTAAAAACTTAATATAGGATTTTCAATTGCCATGTTGAAAATACCGGAGGGTTTTTCGGGATTTTAGAACCCAAACCAGTAATTTCTAGGCTTCGATTTATTCTCTAGAAATGGGGGGGGTAGCCTCTGGTAATTTCTTTTTCATTTTTACCATGAAGAATAGAGATTTTCCAGATTTTCTTTGGGATTTTCTTTGGTATATTGGTAACTTGTTGCCGTTTGCGACATACAACATCACCTTTTTTGACACTGTAAGTCATCTCTAAGTAGATCATGGTTTCGATACTGTCAACAAAAACTGGAGGGTCATCGACGAGCAACGGCCAAGAAACAATGGTAGGGAACTCATCAAATGGAAACCATCACATGGACACTTTTTTTCTTCTAAGGTCTAAATGATTGGGATTATAAGCCTTATTTGTATTCGGAGTATTCAACGAGTAAGGGACCAATGAAGCCATATGAAACTACGAAATCAAAGACCATGAAGCTTAGAGTAATCCAAGAAGAATGATGAACAAATAATCAGAGTGATCATCATAAAGCATGAAAAACACTTCCTGCTGTCCAACTGGCATGGAATTTTCCCCATTTGAATATTAGCTTTCTGATGGCACTTTTCGACCTAACATTTCCAATGACATTTCGTTCAATAGGCAATTGGCAGCGGATTTTAAATAGCCATCAAAGTTTACATCTCAAAAAATCATTTAGATTTAAATGGCCATATCTTTCCCAATGTTTCCCAATGCGTTTCCCTCATTCCTGCCTAGCACCTTGCCGGGCCGCCGGGCGTTTCGCCAGGTGTTGGCGGGTCACTTGCACTCTGTACCTTGGTTTTTTGGGCATTTTCCCAATCGGAAATCCACTAGACATGGGGAATCCATCAGTGTTTTTGGGGGAGTTCCTTAAGCCAAGAACAAGGTGAAGTGGCATTTTTAGAAAAAATCATCAAAATGGGAAGATAACTTGAACCTTTTTCTCTCTGGTATGTGGTGATGATAACATGAGAGGAACATGCTCTTGATCTGCCGATGTTTGATTTCTCCATTTTGTAATCCAGCACGAACGCAGAATCCAATTGTTTCAAAACGCAACCGAAAAGATAGACACTAGTCATTTACCAGTCATTTACCATCTTACTTTTGGATTTAACTTTTTGATATACCCTCAGGTTATTTAACATAGCCATGGAAAATTGCCCATTTATAGATGGTTTACCTATTAAAAATGGTGATTTTCCATGGCTATGTTAAATAACCAGATGGTATATGTTTAGTATTGCGGAAAACTGGATCCAAAATCCTTGTGATTTGGGCCGAGAAATTTATCGGAGAAGCCGCCACCAAGTGATCAGGACAGCACTGGAAGCTGCAAGAAAGTCTCCAGTATCCTTTTAGCGCCTCGGTGTTGGCAATGGTCCAATGGTCATGTTGGGGTACCCCATGGTACCCCCCCTCCATTTTGAGAGAAACTCATGACTCGTTTTTTTTTAATCGTGTTTTTTTTGGGTTTAGGGTCCATTGCTTATTGCTGCGAAAGTCACATCAGAATTGACATATTTCTTTCTGAGTTGACACAGCATCTTCAGGTGGCTTAACCATTTGATAGGGATATTTTGGTATGGAGAGATAAATGGGAGATAAACGATACCAAACTATTAAACATAGTAAGATTGTATATATATATATACACGTATATATATATAATGATATATAATTATTTTATAAAATTATTATATATAAATAACTATATACATATATATATACACATACATATATATATATATATTTAGATATACCAAACATCTTCCCCTTTTCTTAGCACCATAAAATCTACGGAGAACAGGCGTCCTGGAGATGCCGAGGAATGGATGCAGCATGGTTCCAACGGAGCATGGCTTCTGAGGCGGATGGGTGCAAAACATGGTGGGATCCAATGGGATTTTAATGGTGATTTTATGGTGATGTTATGGTGATTTAATGGTGATTTAATGGTGATTTAATTTGATTTTATGGTGATTTAATGGGATTTTATTGGATTCAATTGGATATCCCAGCTAGCCATGTTGGAGGACACCAGAGGCTACCACACTTTTGTTGAGCAAAAGTCTTGGAAACTGGAGCAACGAAGGGTCCAATATCTATGGCATCTACGGCAATTGATTGTTTTAGCGAAAATAGCTGTGGGTGGTCTTGGCTTCCCTTTAAAAACCTGGGTCACATTTTTTCCATCACGAAATTCCCTGAAAGTCCCCTTAAATCCTCAACATCTTTCAAAATCCCATGAAAGTCCATGAAATTCCGGCATTTTTATGGCAACTCCCGGCGGCAGCGAAACGTTTCGCTGCCAAAAAGTGCCCGCCAGGGACGTGCTACGGGGCTGGGCCACAGCCCCGTCCTAAGAGATGTGGGGAACATTGGAATATATCCCAATTACCCTTCGGTAAATTAATATAGACCCTGGCATTTTTCGGGGTTGGAAGACTGGTTTCCACTCAAAATGGCTGATTTTCAGGAACAACAAGTTAATTTACCAGAGGGTATTATAGCTGGGGTTCCATAGGATTCCCCATTTCTGGAACATAGGATTGTTACATTGGGAAGCTGGTGGATTTCCCCTGAATTTTCTGGTGGATTTCCCATGGAAATCCACCAGAAATGGGGAATCTGATTCGGGATGTTCTTCGTGGTGGTTCCTTAAGGATTCGTGCAAGATAATGGAACTTATCATAGGGAGTGATCATAAGGGTTACTAAAAATAACAAAACACCATTGGTTATTGTAGGGAGTTCTTCTACCTTTGTTGGACTTATCATAATTCATAGTGGAGAACCCTATTGGAGTAGACGGAAGACACATTTTTTTCAAAGAGTATTAAGCAACAAACAGACCTGGTGGTACCATGGATGGTTTTGAGCATTTTTATATAGATATATAAACCATGATAAACCCTGTTGTTTAAAATTGAAAATCATAGCAAAGAGTATGCACACGTTTCATCTCCATTCAGCAGTCAAGAGGCATGTCACCTTCCTGGCATCTCATGTGGTCCAAGAACTGGGATACACATTTCAAATCCACGAGGAAATCATGATATCCTCTTGGTAATTAAACATATCTATGGATATCTATGGAACATCACCATTTCAAACAGGCAAACCATCGATCAATGGACCATTTTCTATAGCTATATGAATTTACTGGAGGGTACACTGACATGAAATGATTGCGGTCATGCACCAGTTTCGCACCCAAACATCATCGTGTTGGTCTAATACATGCCAAGTCCTCCAAGTAAAAAGTAACAGTTCGATGTGGAAAACCTATGGGTTTTCCTAGAAACATCTAGAAGAATGCTTTACATTCATGGTATGTTTTCTACATCGAACTGTGAAAAACCTAGGGTATATCCCATGTCCCGAAATCGAAACCACATCGGCAGCCATCTTTTCCATCACGCCTTCAAGGTAGTGTCTTCCTCGATGTTGGGAGTCTGAGATTACAAATCTGGGGTCGCGGAATCGGGTCTTAAGAAAAATGTGTGTGAAATTATTGTATTGTTGTGACATGTTGTGACATGGTTTATATGATTGTCTGTTTTTTATTGTTTTTCCCCATATAACTTGAGTCATTGAGTGTCCGAAAGGTCGAATGTCCCAGCAATTTGTCAAATTCTGCGCTTTGGGGGGTTCTTGAATTTTGATCTAGAATCTAGATCCATATGGAAGCTAGGGTTGTGCATGCTTGCCTTTGCCATTTCCATAGTGGATGATTGTTGAAACAGCCAAGTTGCACACAATAAGAGACCCACAAAGTGGGTAAACCTTGATTTTGTCCATTGGTTCATGGTTAGCCAGATTGGGAGGATGTTTTCTTTACATCTCACAGGAAACAAAATCAAGGTGAGTCCTGTTGTACATACCCACCAGTAGTTGCCAACGAAGCTCTTGTTGGACAGCCCTACCAAAAAAGTGACTCTCCCACAACGGTCACTGGCAGTGGCTTTATCCAAAGTTTCATCCGTCCCATGAAAAAGTTGCCGACAAAATTGTCCCGAACTCTCAGAAAAAACCCTGGCCCCTCGAACTCTGGGGCCGCTGAGCGATGTTGCGGCGCTGCACGGCCGCGCTGCGCACGGCCGGGGGTCAGAAGTTCTTCATTGCGCTCCGCGACTTGGGCAGCCGGAGCGCAAGAGGCACAGGACGGCAGACATCGTTTTTGGTGGTTCTTTTCATCATGTAGCAGCCCAAAATCCGACTAAATGAGTAGATCGAATAGCATCCGTTCATCCCATAAGACTTTTTTCGTGGATTTGTGGGTGAGATCGTGACTCTTGAGGATGTTTGCCCAAGCTACAAACTGTCTACAAGGTATCTACTTAGACAATTAGTTGGTAAATGGATTTAGTTTATTTAGTGACTAGTCAACTAGTTAGTGAAGAACAAGATAGGCCATGGATTTTTTGAACTAGTTTGTAAATGGTTTGGGATATGGTGGCTTACAACCCAGTTTTTACAACCAATTAACTACTGTAATCCCCTGGTCCAAGTAGAGGAATCATCCCGGGAAATCCTGCATTTGAAGCCGTTTCATGAACTTGGAATCTATAAAATTTCAACCATGAAAAAATCATCATTTTTCATGGTAACAATATGTAACCATCGGACATCTTGTTGCTCGAAAACCATAGAAAACCCTAAACAACCTCCCATCTTGTGCCAGGTTGGCCTCCGCGTGTGCGACTGCGAGGCTTACCATTTGGCGTGCATGAGGTGTGATCTGGGAGATTGCTTGTCGTTCTTTTCCATTTCTTCCCCTCTCCGAATTTCTTCGGGAAAGCCTCTGAGAAGATTTTTCAGAGAGCGAAGCCATGGGCCCATGAAAAATCATGACTGGTTGGTGGTTTCAAACATTTTTTATTTTCCATAATATATGAAATAATCCTTCCCATTGACTAATATTTTTCCATATATTGGGAATGTCATCATCCCAACTGACGAACTCATATTATTCAGAGGGGTAGGTCAACCACCAACCAGTCATGAAAATGATGATCAACATGATTTCTGACCTTGGTCAAGGAAGAGAACCTCCGCGGAAAGTTGGAGGCTGTCCTTTTTCCTACGAGAAATGGTTGAGTTATGGTGGCTTCCCCACCATGAAAACCACGCAATAGGTATAGATGATAGGAAATTATAGATCATTTTGTTATACTTCACATAGCGAACTGGACAATCACCATTTTCAAGAGGTAAATCATCAGTTTTATCATCTATACATGGGCCATGGCTTCCATGTTAAAAGCCAGAGGACACCAGTAACCGGCCCCGATTCAACTTTTCCTAAAAGGAATCTCTATTGTGTTGAAGGCTTTTCCGGGAATGGATAAATGGGAAAAGCTGCGAAATCGTTGATACCAGGAATGGACAGAAACTAGCGCAACTAACGGGTGAGATGGTTGTTGAAGACAAGTCGCTTGATGTTTTTGAGGGTTGGCGGTGAAGAACGTGCCAGTTGGCTGCTTTTGAACATAGCCCAAAATCTCATGAGTCATTATCAGGTACCCAACTGGAACCATTTTTTGTTGGGGCAACTCCACTTGGGCCATAGACCAGAGATGAAAATTGGGATTTTTCACAGGTCACTAAAATTTCCGTCTGCAGGATGAGATTCGACGCTGCTTCGAAGGCTTTTCCTTGGCGCAGGCCAACCACCATGCCTTTCCTGGGTTCAATCGCCGCTCTGATTGATCCATTGGATCCAATTTAGGGTACCCTAAAGGCCCTAAAAGCTACCGTACACTTCACGGACCATGTAGAGCTTCATGGGAAGCCAATAGAAATTCCTTGGGCTTCAGAACGGGGAAGAAGGACTCATCCAGCACGCCACTGTTTTATATATATATATATATACACCTACCAGGTGATTGCAGATAAACATAACAAATTCATGATTCAACACGTTGAAACATAAAAAATAAAAAACGGTCCCGTCCTAAAAATGGGGACATCTTTGAAACCGTCAATTTTCCTGTCACTGGCCTACTCCCCTTGTGTTTGAAACTCGTTGATTGATCCCAGGTGGACGTTGAAAACGCTGAAAAGCAGGATGTGGTGATCCTCAGGTTGGATGGGGGGTTCTTGGGTGCCCACTGAATCCATATTTTAGAGGAAAATCACCAATAGCTGGATGGTTTACAATGGACAATCACCAGAATGGATGGTTTACAATGGAAACTCCTATTCAAATGGATGATATGGTTTACCCTCTGGTAAACCAACATAGCTATGGAAAATCACTAGTTTTAATGGGTAAATCCACTACAAATGGCAATTTTCAATAGCTATGTTAATTTACCAGAGGGTATATGGATGATATAATTTATAATATGCTGGTTTCCATAAAATCTGGGTAAATTTGATCACGACCGAAGACTGCGACCGAAGCCTGGAATCATGGCCAATAAGGGAAATCATCCACAACTGGCCGCAAGATTCAGGTTAGTGAAATATTATAATTTACCCAGACATATACAATCATATATATATATAATTCATAATATAAGGAATATGTCCGATTTTTACAGGAACTAAAGATTGAACGCCTAGCTTTTTGGGTGGAACGTGAAAAAAAAACGTTGAGACAATGTCTGGAACTTGTTGGTCCCATGGGCCAAGGTCTTTTAAGCAAGGTGCGAGCAACAGTCAGTATAATAAAGTATCTATCTATGGTTAATAGTGGTTAATAGTGGTTAATAGTGGTTAATAGTGGTTAATAGTGGTTAATAGTGGTTAATAGTGGTTAATAGTGGTTAATAGGGTATAAACCAACAACAGTCAGTATAGTAAAGTATCTACCCTCTGGTGAACATACAAAAAGCTATGGAAAATGGCTATAGAAATAGTGGATTTTCCCATTAAGAATGGTGATTTTCCATTGCTATGTTAGTTCACCAGAGGGTATCTATATTGTAATACATATACTGCTTGGTGGTTTGGAACATGACTTTTATGACTTTCCCATCATATTGGGAATTTCATCATCCCAACTGACTTTAACTCCATCATTTTTTCAGAGGGGTAGGTATACTAGTATACCACCAACAAGTAATACATATATATATATATATATCATATATATAATATACATATAGTATATATATATATATACATAGTATATATATATATACATATACATATAGTATATATATATAGATCCTAGGTGTTGTCGGTGTTGTCTCATGTGGAACCTGAGAAAAGTCGGCCAGGAGGACCAGAGATCATCTTCCGACGGGACACGCTTTGGTGTACTTCACAGACTGGGAGGTCGGGTGGCGGAGCCATGGGGAGGACCCCAAAAAGGTGAGCTCCGATCGCTTTGTGAAAGGAGAAACCATCGATTTTTAGAGATTTTACTTTGAATGGAACATGAATCCGAGATAATCCATTTAACTATTTTTAGAGATTTTATTCATGGAACATGAATCCAAGAATTTTTATAACCGGATCCCATAAAGAGAGAAAACCAGACCCTCGAACAACGTCCTGCTTGTTTTTTGACTTCGGAAGTCGCCGCCACAGCTCAGTTTTTTTTCATGATCCCCATTCGACCAGTGTAAACAGCAAAAAATAGCTATGGAAAATGGATGACAGTGGACAGTATGTGGACAGTTGATAGATGATTTGCCTATTAAAATCGTCTTGTTCCATAGTTATTTTAGTATATTTTAGTTTACCAGAGGATAACCATCATTTCTGGCCCATATCCCAGATGCAGGTCTTCATATACCATTTGATGGAGTTAACTCATGTTAAATCATAGGTTTTTAGTTCTTACTATCCACTTCTTACTCACCATTTGTCATGGCCAATATCCACGGTTTAAAACCGGGTGAACTCCCATCTTCCTAGGGTCAATCTCCGTATTGCGGGTGAAATCACCACCAGTTTTCCAGGTTTTTCTGGGTTTTTTTCGTAGAGCAGGAGGCGTGTCGCGCGCGAGAAGAGAAGCAACGCACCTACATCGGAGCCTCGGTTTTGAGCACCTCTTGAAGTTGCCCATTGGTTTACGGTCAATGTTGGGGTTCTACTAACGTACCAACAAACTATTGTTTTTTTGGGTTGACCATAGAACTATGGATTGACCATAGAACCATTGTTGCCCATTGGATGTTGGGGTTTGAAATGGGTTTAACATGTTTAAACTTATCATTCAAATCCATTTGTTGGAATAACTATAAACAAAGCAATAGAAGCAGTTTGCAGCCAGGTTTTTGACTATCCAGCGAATTTTATGGGTACCCCGATTTATGGAAAGCCTCATATTGAACATGCTACAACCTTTACTCTCCCGTGTACAGCCAGTATTTTGGGGGTCCCAAAGAGACCAGAAAATCGTCCTCTCTGGGACGGTAGATTCATGTAGATTCCCATCGGTTGAAGGTTGCCATTGGTGGATGCATCATTTGTCACAGTGACACGCGCAGGACTGTCCTGGTTCGAAATCTATGTGTTACGGTATCTTGATTTTTTTGGGTTGCACAGTTGCACACCCAAAGTTCAGACCCATCAGTTGGGTCTGAAAATACCCCTCAGATTTCATGGTGAATGATCCTTTTCCATCCTTTTCCCCATTCTTTGGTTGCCATGTCAGACAGACCCCGAGGAAATCGCTGGATCGAAATCTATGTGGATTGGTCTCCGGTACCCTGGCGCGAGGCAATAACCCGACTTGCCAGTCATGCTGGTGGAAGATGTTCCATCACTTACCCAAAAAATGACCCAAATGTCGGCATATAAAACCTAATATATGATATATATATATATTATTATACCATTATATGGAGCATCTGGGACATCGAGTTCTGAGTTTAGGACACCTCCAAAAAAGCGGATCGAAGGTCAAAAAAAGCCAGCAGTGAACGCTTCCACAGCTCCAAGCCCAGCGTTCCGGTTCCGTTCCGCAGTTACCCAGGATTGGTTCGCTTCGGAGACCTCGCCCAGTGACTGAGAGGTGGTGAGGGGGGACCCTGGTGGAACGCCCAAAAATGGGCCAGCTATGATTTTACGCATGCAAACGGTGTTTTTTTTGGGATCTTCATGGGGATTTTTCATTGTAGGATACGGTTTGACCGCAACTGTCATCAACATGATTTTCACCAGATGTTCGGGGGATGGGCAGAAATCTGCAGGGATTCACACACACACACATTACAAGCAATCTGAAAGAGTAAATGTGGGTTGGCTGTGGCCCCTTCGGGGTGTGTCCCTGGCCGCTGGGGGATGGGTGTTTCCGGTGATTTCTCCACAACCAATCCAATAATCCATGGATCCATGGATATCCAATGTGGAGGATTCCGCCGTGGCCTATGGGGGTTTCTTAAGTCATGGATCCCCAAGTCACCATGGGTTTCAATACTAAAGTGGTCATCCATGACTTGGATGATTTGGGTGTACATCCATTTTAGGAAACCTCCATATGGGGAATATGAATGAATATGAGGCTTTTCAGGTTCCCAATTTCGGCGCCGATTTTTTCTTGCGGATTTTGACGCTTCAACTCTGACCAAAGCAGTTTGTGGATTGGTAATTACATTTAGTTACCCCAAGCTTGATTATTTGTCATTTTCCTGACTATAAATTGAGATAAGATCTTCCATTTCCGGACCACCCAAGTTGCCAGGCGATTCAAAAGCGGCTGTGTGCTGCACCCTTCGCGATTGCGTGCGACAGAGGAAAAGGTGAAGCGCGGTGAGCGCGGTGTTTTGCCCTGGTGGAGTTGTAGCAGGTGTTGCTCACTAGTTCTAAGTGATTTATGACCGATTTATAGTAAACGTACAATCATCATCAGTCATCCTTCTAGTCATATATATATATATAGTTGGATTATATTTATAAGCATAGATAATTACAATATACTATATATATATGTATTTACAATCATAGGTAATTGTTATGAATCATTAAACCATGGTTAATCAACCATAGTTAAAACAATATAGTTAATCTAGGTCAAAACGCCTAAAATCAGTTCAGCTGCAAAAGGGGAGTCCTTGTGCTGTCTTGCAGTGTTCGAATACTTTTTCTGCGAACAGAAAATAACCACAAGCAGCAACAGATTCATTTCTGCCAAAGCTGTGACACAATTCTATATGCTTAAACACATGGTTAATTTTTACCCATCCCACTACCAAAGTCAGCCCATGGAACAAGCGATGCCGCCAAGGCAGAAGAAGATACAACACTTTCGCAAACTTCAGGTGGAACCCAGCCATAGCAACCCTGCTTGGTGAAGCTCCATTTTGCGCGGGGGTTTTCAATTGCCATGTTTATATATATATATATATTAAATACATCCCACTACCTTTAGATACCAAAATATTGGTGGTACATATATGCCATTATTAATATACCTTTTTATACTATGATACCATGATTTTATTTTATTCTTTATCCCATTATATATATATATATCCTTATATCCCAGTATACCATGATATCCCATTTTTCTTGCTTAAATCCTGGCACGGCTTCCACCTGCCAGGCTCACGCAGAGATCACCAAGCTCTGTGTTGGGAGAGCCCAGATTTTCCGCCATGCCATGGCCGACACATTGGGCTAACCATGTTGGTGAACCCATCTTTGGAACAAACCCAGATATGATTGGTGACAAATGGTATCGCATTATAATAAAATTGTCGCTCTATTTTGTTGGTTAGATATTGAACACCCCTGAATGTCCGCTAATATCCCCAATAGATGGATGTAGTGTAGATTTACACACCATCCATTTCCACCCCAAAAGCAAAGAACCAAATTTTGGTTACTTCATATCATTAATAGCCATAATTGAATCATCATATTCCCAATCGCTAGTTATAAATTTAAGAACCATCCCGTTTTCCACCAACAAACTTTGGTTGAATCAACGAACTCCGGACTTTTTCTTGAATTCAAATCACTCAAGTCCGAAATCCATCATTTTTCTTGATGACATCACTAAAATCTCTATTTTTGTTCACTTTAAATCACTCAAAATCCAATTTTTTTTTGTGATGAAATCGCCCCTTCGAAGCCCGCGGCCAGGTTAGTACCGGCGATTGGATTGACCAACTCTGGCTGCGCGAAGTGCTGGCACTGTGGCATCGGCAAGCGCTGCAAGAGTGGCCAAGCTACAGATTTTTTGGGAGATGATATGGGAATATGCCCTCTGGTGATTTAAAATAGCTATTCAATATAACAATTTATAGTTGATTTACCCATTAAAGATGGTGATTATAGTTGATATGGGAATATATTGGGAAACTAAAAGGGACTATGATTCTTATTTATGTCCCAATGATATGGGATGATTGGGAAATATATGGGAGATAATATGGAGGTTTCCTAAAATGTGGGTACCCCCAGATCATCCATTTTAGATTGGGATTTTCCATTGTAAACCATCCATTTTGGTTTATCACCCTTTATGGACCCCCCCATGGGAATATATTGGGAAACTATGGGATAATAAGATAGCTATAGAAGTGAGATGATGTGGGATATGTGATATTATTTAGTGATCATTTAGTGATCATAACATAGGTATGGGGACAACAATGGGATATTTCATGGGATATATATATATATACACTTAGGGTTATGTATATATGTATATATATACATATATATTAAGGGAGATACGGAAAGTTAACGGGACATTTTTGGGAAGATGTATAGCTATATGGGAATATAGCTATGGGGAATATATTGGGATAATATAAGGATATCCATATTCAATGATAACACATTTAGAAATACGACAATCATGGGATGTTGAATTGGAGATTTGTGCTGCAAACAACAAAGACACTGCGGTTTAGTTGCCCTCCAGTAAATAATTGATGGGAATATAATGGGTTATAATGGGATAGTAATCCAGAATTATATAGTTATATATAGTTTTCCTGTCTAAAAATGAGGGACACCCCCACATGGCAATTTTTAGTATGGACAATGTCATTAAGCACGCAATTTGGGGTACACTATTTTTTCATACAAACCCATTGAAACCAATGAAGCTGATCTTAAATTAGGTTGATGTCGGAAAATCACATAGCGCCGACTTAGCCGACTGAGAATTTCTGGTTATCCTGCGGCAAACGTGGCCATGAAAATCACATCCCCTATAGATGGAGAGTTTTTTCATGGTCTCAATGGGAAAATCATGGAAAATCAACTATCAATGTTGTATTTTCCATTGGCCGCATCGGATTGCCATTGCGGCTGGTCAATAAGATTTTGTTGGTGATTCTTTCTGGATCATTTTGCATCACCAAAACGCATGGATTTACCCGTGGTTTTGCATTATTTTCCACCATTTTGGGAGGCACTTTACCAGCTGAAAATGGAGACATCGAATTTCACCCGGAATTTTCCGATGCCAAAAGCCAGTGAAACGACAATCCACTGCCACAAAAAGGATCAAACGAAATTCTCAGATTGTCATAGGTCATAGTGATTTCGATTCGGATTATCCTTATTTTCGACTTCAGATGGGTTGAAACCACTGTAGCCACTTTCGGATTTTAGCTGAAGAAAACGCACCTCAAAGCCTGTTGGGGGAGTTCAGCGGTGCGGATAGAACCCATGGTTTTAAACATGTTCGCAACATGTTTAAATCATGAATTTCCGAACACATTGCATAAAGATGGCCTTTTTCATCATCATCATTTTTCATCATTTTTCGGGCCACTTTATTCATGTAGACCACTTTGGTGTCAGGATGTCGGCACTGGTCACCTCAGGATCTTAACGAGACATGCAGCAGAGGAGGAACGGTCACGGAAATTACAGGCCCGGCGATGGAATCGGTTCAGATCAAATCTTGGGTGAATTTTTTGTAGACATGAACGATTCCATTGAATGATTATTTCAGGATTTTAAGATAAATCTTGAAATCATTCAAATCTTCAAATCCGTTGAGCAGAAACCAGAGATCAGAACATCCAATCGGTTTGGGAATGACGCAGTGATTCCAGTGATAGGCGCGGCCAGACATGTGTGATACCCAGTGGCCATGACAAACACCATGTGAAGCCCAGAAGTACCCCCCTTTGGGGACGATTCCCTTTTCCAACCAGGGGATCCAGGGGGGCAATCTGAAGCACATCAAGCCACTTCTGCCGATGGTGCGCCCGCTGCCCCAGGTTCGCTTGAAGGCACACTATCGGATCATTGAACTCGTGCCTCGGCGAGATCAGCCTATTCGCTATGGGGGCATCATTTTAAATTTTAAATCATTTTAATCCATTTTATCGAGGTGGAAAGAAGGCCCATGTCCAGATCCAGGGATTTTTCACGAGAGGAGAGTGAAAATGGAGCATATCTGAGAGTTTACTCAGAGTTGACATGAAGGTGGTGTTGACATGGGCTTCGAAAGGACACCGCGGCAATGACTGGTGTTAGAGCGTTCGCGTTGGAAAATTATTTGAGCAAACCATGGTTTGGAAGGCTTATGGATGAACTAGGTATTTCGTCATTTTCATCTATTTTCATTGAGGAAATGCCATTTCCGGTATATTCAACCTTTTATTTGGTTGCTCTCAAGATTAAAAAAAACGCAGATATGGAAGACCCAATGAAGTCTACTATCTCAGTTTATCCCAACGACCTCTCCTCGCTTTCCGTCACTGGAATGCTGGTTGGATTACCGGGGGAACTCTCCCAAAATACCGGGGTGCTCTTCAGGTTCGTGACATATTCTAACTATCATTATATAAGTGAGGTATGTTATAAGATGTTATAAGATGGTATAAGATGTTATAAGATCTTATAAGTATTCTATTAGTATCCACTATTCTAGCCCCAACTATACCCCAAAAATCCCCATGATCTTTCCCCATGATCTGCCCCGGATGGCTAAACCTTCGCGTCTTCCTCGCCGTCTCCTCCAATCTCCTCCCGTGAGATCCGTGGGAAGTCGACCGAGCGCCAAAGCGCGCTGGCTTTGGCGCACGTATCTTGGTGAAGAAGTGGAGGTGACGTCAAGTTACCCTTGGTTTACCCGGTAAGGTAACTCAAACACAACTGGTTGGTGGTTTCAAACATTTGGATTATTTTCCATAATATATGGGATAATCCTTCCCATTGACTAATATTTTTCAAGATGGTTAAAACCACCAACCAGCTAAGGATTATGGATGATACATCGAACTAGTTAATGAGATTTATAAACCATCTATAACTCTGGATGATATAGAAAATAAGAACATCATGGATAATGGGGAAAATTGATGATTTATAACTTGTAAACCATCTTTTTGTTTCTTTTTGGTTTTTAATGGACATTGACGGAGACCCCCTGGTAATCAAACGTGGCTAGCTGGGAATTTCCCTATAAATTGGGATCTTTTTTTGTGAAAATCATCGTCCCATTTATGGAAGATTTTCCAGCAAGCCACGTTTCATGAAACAGGAGGGTATCATAGAGGAAACGGGAACCCCTTTGGGACCGTTTGGGAATGTGTTACAGTTCGCTATGGACGCCCATGGCACATTTAGTTAGAGATTTACTACCATTGAAGATTGTTATTTTCCCTAGCTGTGTTAAATCTAATTAGAGGGTAAGATATTAAGAAACACCAAATACAATGAAGTAGGAATACTTAGTAAACCAAGTAGTACTCGTATTCACCTAGTAAACCAAGTATTTGGGAACCCTCCAACGTATCTGGTTTACAGAGTATTTCCAAATAGTGA